AATGGCTAGATGATATAAATGAATTGCAAATTAAATCTTGAAGGTTAGCCTGTTTGACTTTGTTCAGGAACACAAAGGGTGCTGAAGTCCAGCTGTCACCCTACGAGCAGCAGGGGAAATCCTCAACAAGTCACTAGTCCATCTCGGGGCTAGAAAGTTGTAATCAAATTTCATCAAAGGTTCTTCAAGTATAAGTGCATTGATTTTAAAGAGATGCTGTATTTTGTTCCAGGAATCAAGTGCAGTGAAATCAAAAGTCATCGCTTAATGCCTAGGCCAAAGTTTTGTTAAATGAGGTACAGTAAAAGCAACTCTGGAGAGGTTGCCTAATAAAATCTATTTTTGCGTTGAATCAGTTCTGATGGGAAATACAGACACTTTCTAATAGGCCTTTACAGATTAAGATATGTCAATAATTATTACCAAGACTCTAATATAAGGACATTTTATTTGTGTTTACCTTTGCTTGCAATAACTGTTTGGACAAGTTTAGAAAAAAAGGCTGTTATGGAGCGCAGAAAATGCAGCCTTTCAAAATGGTGAGCATTACTAACAAAGTGTGAGTGTGTGACACAGTGAGAGACATGCTGGCACCTTTTGGGCAAGAAAGGTGTAGAAAATGTTTGCTGAAGGTAAAATAATGTTACTTTTAGATMATTTTTTCACAAATTTAAATTGACAGTAGTTTACTCTAGCAACTAGTTAATATGTTGCCAATGTAATACTTGTTCTTCCAGATTTCGTATGGACATATGGGGTTAACAATTCACCCATAACTTGAAAATACCAGTGGGAAAGAAAACTGGAAGCACATATGGGCAAAATCATTAGAAATAACAGAAAGACAGAAAGTGATGGTGACAGAGTGAATAAATCGAGTCATTAAGCATGTGTTTGTGGGACCTAGCTCCCATATGACAGTGCAGGGTGGAAAGATGCTTCCCCATAAACAGACAAACAGATTGGCTCAATTGCCTCTCTCCTTTGGGCAATTCTTCCATTCTGCTTTCTGGGGAACACTTAGGACCTTTCCTCCCCTGGGCCTCCATAGGCACAACTGCTTGTGCTGTGTTTCAAATTACAGCAGTCCCTCAATAAATTAAGACTTCTGTCTGAAGCCAGAGTCATCTGAAAGCAAATCCCAATGAATTTAGGTTGTAAGTATCCGTGATTAAAACTGATTTATCATGGGTTAAACTGATCAGAATCTGATGGATGGATGGATGGATGGATGGATGGATGGATGGATGGATGGATGGATGGACAACAAGCAGCAGCAGGGTGGAAGTATTAAAACTGAATTCAAATTAAAACATTTTTTGTTCACCTTTTGAATTGTCACATTGTTTTTAAAACTATATTTATGACATTTATAACCTCTAACTCTTGTTATAGGACAAAATGGAGAGGTAAAATCCCAGCAGAGTGGAACAATCTCTTCTATGACCAGTGGAAACTGTAGCACACAAGAGACTGATCTACTTTCCAGTTTAAAATGTTGTTTTTTCACTGTGAATTTATGTTAAACACACATAAAGTTTATTATTATTATTATTATTATTATTATTAGTAGTAGTAGTAGTAGTAGTAGTAGTAGTAGTAGTAGT